TAAGGGCAAGAATTTCCCAGCACCATGTCCCCCTCCCATCTCTTTCCATTAGGGAGATTTAACGGTTAGCAGCACGGGAAGAAACTAAACGTCAATCACTCCAGAGGAAGTTTTAAGGAACTCCTTTCATTGGCCAGGGGTCTTGGAGAAGGCGGGGATTCCTCCCAGGTTAAAAGTCCCTTCTTCCATGCCCCTACGCACTCCGTGTTTGGGTCCACTTCCACTAACACTCACTTCCTGGAAGCTGTTTTTCCCTATCCTGGATTTCCCCTCTGGGGTCCCCTTCCACATTCTCTCGTGGAAGCCTGTCTTCCCCTCCTAAACCCCCTCTCTATTCCCTTCCACTCAGTGTGGAAGCTGCTTTCCTCTCCTGGATTCCATCTTTCTGGATTGTCTCGGTGTGAGAGTTAGCTATTTCTTTCTTCTTCTCTGGTTTCTCTTTCTCTTTAAATAAATCACTTTCTACAAACACTTTGGAGTCCAGCATTTACTGTGCACTGCCCTGTGGTCCCCTCTCTCATTCTTGAGAGGGCAGGAGACCAAGAACCTGGAGAAACGCCCTCTCAGGGGAGCTGAGGGCACCCTGAACCCTTGAACCCCAATATTACATTTTGGCGAGCCAGCCAGGAGAGGGATACATCAGAAGAGGGGTACAGCTGGAGAATAAGACTTCAAAATCGTGAGTAAAACCGGCCCCATTCGGTCCTGTCTCTTTAAGAACACCTGAAGTAGCCCCAGCTGGGACCAGAGGAGAGGTGCCTGGGAGGCACAACACAGCTGGTCTTACGCGGCTGGGCCCAGCCAGAATTAAAAGCGCAGTTTTGGCTGGGCGCGGTGGCTCACGCCTGTAATCCCAGCACTTTGGGAGGCCTAGGCGGGCGGATCACGAGGTCAAGAAGAGATCGACATCATCGTGGCCAACATGGTGAAACCCCGTCTCTACTAAAAATACAAAAATTAGCTGGGTGTGGTGGCCTTTGGTCCCAGCTACTCGGGAGGCTGAGGCAGGAGAATCGCTTGAACCCAGGAGGCGGAGGTTGCAGTGAGCGGAGATTGCGCCACTGCACTCCAGCCTGGCGACAGAGCAAGACTCCATCTAAAAAAAAACACCGCAGTTTTTTCCTGCAGTAGCCTGTGGGGCATAGCGGGCGAGCACTGCCCCCCAGGTCTTTTGTTCCTTGACGGCTGGGAATGGGGACTGCGGAGACCATGGCAGACCCGCGGGTGGATCCGGGTGCACACAGCAAGCCTTCTGCCAAAGAAAAACAGGAGAGGCAAGGTACTAGCCCGAGCCTGCAGGGGAGCGGGGGCGGGGCGCGGCAGTCTGGCGCATGGTTCTGGCAAGCATCCAGGGTTCCAGTCCCAGGCAGCAGTGTAGAAAGGCTCCCCAGGGCGTTTGCCTGCTGGCCGCGGGTCCCTGTGTGGGCAGTAGCTCGGGGAGGGGCCCAGGCCTGCAAGTGGTTCTGGCGGCGTCATCATGGCGACTGAAAGCCACGGGGGCTGGGAAACTCGCGAAGCGCCGCAGCAGTAGCTGCAAATGTGGCTTTTCAACCCAAAGTGGCAAGTGTTTTTTTTCTTTGGGTGCACTGGCTGAAAGAAAAGAAGCGGTTGCTGGCTGTCAGCCCCGCCCGGCTTCGGGCAGGCCACATCGCCTCAGGGTGCAGCATTCTCATTCAAGATTCGGCTTAAGAAAGCTTTCAGCCTTCCCTTAATGCAACTGGCTTGTTATCGCAGTTGGTGTAGGGCCTGCAACTGCAAGATTGCTCGTTCAAATCTCTGGTGGAGTCGGTCTTGATTTGGGGAGATCTTTTGGATTTCTCAATTCTATTTCATTTATATACACATTTATCCTTATGCTAGTACTACACAGCCTTGATTATTGTACTTTGTAGTGAGTTCTGAAATAGGAAAGGGTGAGTCCTCCAATTTATTGTGTTTTTTTGGTTTTTTTTTTGAGATGGAGCCAGGCTGGAGAACAGTGATGCCATCTCTGCTCACTGCAACCTCCGCCTCCTGGGTGCAAACGATTCTCCTGGCTCAGCCTCCCAAGTAGCTGCGACTACAGGCACACACCACCACGCCCATCTAGTTTTTGTATTTTTTAGTAGAGACGGTGTTTCACCATGTTGGCCAGGATGATCTGGATCTCTTAATCTCGTGATCTGACTTCCTCAGCCCCCCAAAGTGCTGGGATTACAGGTGTGAGCCACCGCGCTTGGCCATCTAGGTTCTTCTTTTTAAAGATTGTTTTGACTGTTTTGGGTCCCTTTGCATCTTCATATGAATTTTAGGATCAGCTTGTTAATTTCTACCAAAAAAAAAAAAAAACCCCAGCTGGGATTTTGATAGGCATTGTGTTGAATCTGTAGATCTGTGAGGAGTACTGCCATCTTGACAATATCAGGTCTTCCGGTCAATGAATACAGGAGGTCTTTCCATTTAATTAGGTTTTCTTTAATATCTTTCAATGATGGTTTATAGTTTTCAGCATGCACTTCTTTTGCTAAATTTATTCCTATTTTATTCTTTTACACACCATTGCAAATGGAATTTATTTTCTTAATTTCATATTCAGATTGTTCATTGCTAATGTATGGAAGTACAGTTGGTGTTTGTATATTCATCATGTATCCTGCAGTCTTGTTTATTAATTCTAATAGGTTGTTTTTAGTGAACCCTTACAATTCTCCATACATAAGATCACATCGTCTATGACTAGAAATAGATTTACTTTTTTGTTTCCAATCCAAATGCTTTTATTTCTTTGTCTTGCCTAATTTTCCTGGCTAGAACCACCAGTACTATGTTAAATTGAAGTGGCAAGAGAGGACACTATCCTCTTGTTCCTAATCTTAGGGGGAAAATATCCAGTCTGTCACCAACAAATGTGATGTTAGCTTTGCGGTTTTCACAGCGTTATCAGGTTGAAGAAATCCCCTTCTATTCCTAGTTTAAGTGTTTTTGTCATGAAAACACTTTTGTCAAGTGCTTTTTCTATATCCATTGAGATGATCTCTGGTTTAAATTCATTTTTAATTAAACGAAATCATACTACATTCTCTTTGTAAGAAATGTATTCAGTATACATAAAACTAGAGTCTCCCTAGTTCTTTCCCAATAATCCCAAGGTACTTGCTGTTGTCAGATTAAGGCTTCCTTTTAGCTAATTTCCTATGCATGTGTGTGTGCGTGTGTTAAAAATATACAATGTGCTTTAACAAAAAATGGCATAATAGTGTCAAATTTGGCTTAAACCTGTCTCTGTGGATTATGAACTGCAATCTACGAGTACGTTCTTGTAACAAGTAGCTGAGTCTCAGCCAATCACAGCAGATAAGCTTCAGTCACTTGCAGGCTGCCAACTGATAAGACCACATCCCCATATAAAACAATGCCAAGCTGTAATCAATCAAGGTGTTTCTGGATGTTGTTTCCACTTTCTGGTACCATCTCTGCTCACTGCAACCTCCGCCTCCTGGGTTCAAACTATTCTCCAGGCTCAGCCTCCTGAGTAGCTGGGACTACATGTTTATAAATGAGGCCTGCTTAGGTTGCTGGGTAGAGTTCTCTGAACCTCACTCCCAGTTCTGAGTGCTGCCCAATTCATGAATTGTTCTTTGCTCAAATAAATTCTGCTAAATTTGTCTAAAGTTTTTCTTTTAACCATGTATGTACACTGTTTCCTCTCCCTGGAATGCCTTCTTGGTCCCAGCTGACATACCAGTGCCCACTTTTCCTTTAAGACTGATGAAGTCCCTCTTTTCTGCGGTGCCTTCTAAGGTCATCCATACATCAGACATCTTTTCCTTCTAGTGATGGCTTAAAATCATTCCCCCTTTCAAAGCCCCCTTTGGTTATGAGTTTAGCAGAGGAGGTGTTTAGATTTGAACAGCCTGAAGTTTCATAAGGTATACACTGATACCCCCTTAAGCATCTTTTTTACACTGGGGCACATTTATAGCTATTGTATGATAATAGTGCTATAGCTATAGTTAAATCTGGAGCCACTTTGACATCTTTTTATATGGCAATGTTTGCTGGTACGAGAGGGGGAGTTCAGTTGTCTTGCAGACTGCTTTTCCTGCTGTGTTCATAGCACTAAGAAGGAGTCCCAAAGCTCCTTGCATTTGGAAGGATGAGGGTGGGTGGAATCTTACCATGGAAGAATCAGGGACAGAACAGTTCCCCTTTTACTGTTACCTACTGGTTACATCCTGGGCTTCTGGGTATGAGTTCATTTGAAATAAACAGCACACACCTGTTTGAAGGACAGGCTTGAGAGTGACTATTCTTTTGCACTTTGCTCTTACTCTTTTTTTTTTTTTGGGACACAGTCTCACTCCATTGCCAAAGCTGGAATGCAGTGGCACAATCTTGGCTGAGTGCAACCTCCACCTCCTGGGTTCAAGTGATTCTCATGCCTCAGCCTCCTAAGCAGCTGGAATTACAGGCATGCACCACCACACCCAGCTAATTTTTGTATTTTTAGTAGAGACAGGGTTTTTCCATGTTGGCCAGTTTGGTTATTTTGGAGAAAGGGTCTCTCTCTGTCAACCAGGCTGGAGTGCAGTGACACAATCTCCACTCACTGCAACCTCTGCCTCCTGGATTTAAGCCATCCTCCCACCTCAGCCTCCCAAGAACAGCTAGATACAGATGTGTGCCATGCAGGCTAAGTTTTGTATTTCTTTTCTTTACTTTGGCAGAGACGAGGTTTCATCATGTTGCCCAGACTGGTCTTGAACTCCTGGGCTCAAGTGATCCTCCCACCTTGGCCTCCCCAAAGTTTTGGGATTACAGGCATGAGCTACTATGCCCAGCCAGTTGCAGTAAAAATTCTAAATCATTCTTTAAGACTCACTGTGCAGAGAATCTTATTTCTGAGGTCTGGATAGTAAATATAATATCCTGTTTATAACTCATCTAAGGTTTCCCCTGGACCCTCTACCTCACAAAAATTCCCCATTAAATCAAATACCACGGTTGCATATGAGTCTTACCACATAGGCTCTCCAGAAAGATTGAATGTAGAGGGCTGCTTCCTCTTCTGTCAGCAGGAGGGAGAGTGGGATTGGTGGCCGCGGGCTGAAAAGCAATAAAATGGTCATATGCCCATGAGAATCCAGTCCTTCAGCCTTGGCATTGCCTTTGACAACATAATGGCCTCTCTGATTAAGTGCTTCATCCATCCAGCAAGCAACAATGTCATTTTAGATAGAAAGGTATATGCTTGACTTTGCATTATTTTAAAACACTGGGATGGATTTTTTTTAGAAAAACAGCATAATCTTAAATCATTGTTAGCCTATTCTTCCTTTGAAGGACTCAGGCTGCTATATGTGCATTTTAGTCCAGAAGGTGCAACATACATGTTATTGACATAAGACTATTTGATGCAATGCAAGAGACAGAGGAGCAGCTGCCTTCATGTACTGCAGTATGATGTCATGAAACGCTCTTTCTCTAACTTTCCATTGACATGAAGGACTGCAGTTCATCTCTTTACTGAAAGGAATATTAGTTTTGATCTCTGATTAGTGTGCATTCCAGGTCAATGTGGTTTAAATTCAAGCACATTTTTAAGTTCTGCTGCTGTTACAGAAACATCAGGGGTTTGGTGTAGCTCTTGCTGCTCACCACACAAAATGCCAGTCACTGAGCTGATGAGTCTTACCCAGAAAGAAGGCTTTAATCTTAATTGAGTTCTGCAGCCAAGGAGGAGATGGGAGATCAGTCTCAAATCCACCTCCCAGACTGACAAAAACTAGGGATTTATACAGCAGGAAAGAAATGGCGACAATGTTTAAGAAAGCAGGAACTAGGGAGGGACAAGGAACCAGTCATGATGCATGAAGGCTCTGGGATCTCACTGTCTAGATGTGGTGATATGATGAGTTTCAGTTCTTTGATACTTCCTTTTTTTTGAGAGGCCTGGGGGTCCTTCCCTGAGGAAGGAACTCAGATAAATTAAGTTTTAAGCTTCAAGACCAGAAGGGTCCATTTCTATGTTTATCTGAAAACAACGAAACTATAGGATGATTGGGTTGCTTTCACTGCTTCATCTTAATAAGATATAAAATACCTCAAGTGCTGGATCAGTTGATAGTGTCTGCTCTTGTGGGAGTTTTCATATTATGGGCTTTTTTAAAAATCACAGATACCACATTTAAAAAATCAAGACTATATAGTCTTTTATTCCCCCTTAAAGTTTAACAGACGCACTAACTGATGACAAGGCCTTACAAGTCTGTCTTAATTCATGTTCTTTATGTTTTCCCCAAAGCAAAGTACAGCTACCTCTAAAAAACAAAGGCCAAGACTGTTCAGATATAAAAGAAAGAAACCCTCAGAGGACGTAGATCACATGGAGGTTGCTCCCAGTATAGCATCCCCAGAACAAAAATGACTTTGCAAGTAAAGGACTCCCAAGTGCCCTGGCCTCAAAACTCTCCCAAATAACAGCTAGAGCTTAGAGTAACTCATGGCACAGACAGGTTGACTAACCTGCCCAAGGTCACACAGCTGTAGGTGGCCTAGTCAGGACCTGGGCCCAGACTCATACAATCCCGAAGCCCAAGCACCCCTCACTATAGAGTGCTGACACACCAGGCCTCAAATGGGCAAACACATGCAAATGCCCAGCCTGGCACAGATTGCAAAGCTAACTGGCAACAGTGCATAATTCTCCAGGATCCACGGGTTTTATTTCCCTCCAAAAACTCTGACTGAGAAAAAGAAAAAGCTTGATATAGTATATTTGTTTGAATGAATGAATGCTCTTCTGAATTATTCCAGAACCAAAGAAATCAAAGCCACAAAGAACATAGAGTTTATCAGCACCATTCCTAGTGAGTGCAGTGCTGTTGTCAGGCTCTGGTTTTCCAGCTGGATAGGTCCTTTCTAAGAGGTGATTCTTCCATTTCTTTCTTTTTTTTGAGATGAAGTCTTGCTCTGTCTCCCAGGCTTGGAATGCAGTGGCACAATCTCGGCTCACTGCAACCTCTGCCTCTTGGGTTCAAGTAATCCTCCTTCCTCAGCCTCCTGAATAGTTGGACTATGGGAACATGCCACCATGTGCAGCTAATTTTTGTATTTTTTGGTAGAGATGGGGTTTCACTGTGTTGGCCAGGCTGGTCTCGAACTCCTGACCTCAGGTAATCTGCCCACCTCTGCCTCCCAAAGTGGTGGGATTACAGGTGTGAGCCAAAGTGCCCAGCGTCTTTTACATTTTTTTTTGAGACAGAGTCTCTCTCTGTTGCCAGGCACCAGGCTGGAGTGCAGTGGCGCGATCTCGGCTCACTGCAACCTCCGCCTCCCGGGTTCAAGCAATTCTCCTGCCTCAGCCTCCCAAGTAGCTGGGACTACAGGCACGTGCCACCACGTCCAGCTAATTTTTGTATTTTTTAGTAGAGATGGGGTTTCACCATGTTGGCCAGGATGATCTCCATCTCCTGACCTCGTGATCCACCCACCTTTGCCTCCCAAAGTGCTAGGATTACAGGCGTGAGCTACCGTGCCCGGCCTCTTTGACGGTTTTTAAGTAAAAATTTTTTTTAATTGTAGAGACAGGGTCTCGCTATATGGTCTCCAACTCAACCTCAAGCAATATTCCCACCTTAGCCTCCCAAAGAACCGGGATTACAGGCATGAGCCACCTGCTCAGCCCGGGCTCCCTGCTTTCCACATTAAATGTCTCTCCTCATCCACTGTCCTGATTATCTGTATCTCAGTTGTGTGACACCAACAAATCATATTCCTGAAGTAATTTCCCTTCACTAGTTAAAATTCAACAGCTTCTAGAGAGACCTTGGTGTTTATAAGGAGACCTCGGTGTGTTGGCAGTGAATTCATGGGAATGATGCACTAATGCATTCTCACTGGCTATTTACTGAGAACTTTCTGGATCCCCTCCCAGCGGCCTTGCTTCTCATGCTCCAACCCTGCAGGTGTCACCAGCCGCGGGCTGTGACTGTAAATTGTCCAGGTACTTGGTGTTTTGAACAAAGAATTGCACAAAACACCTGGCAGAGCAAAGAAAGAATGAAGCAAGAAAAGAACAAAAGCAGTGATTTACTGAAAAGTACAAAGGTACACTCCACAGTGTGGGAGCGAGCCCAAGCAGTGACTCAGGGGCCCTCATACAGAATCTTCTTGGGTCCAAATAGCACCTAGAACTTTCCCATTGGCCACTCCATGGTGACCTCATGTAAATGAAGTAAGCGGTAGCCAGCAATGAGTCTGATTGGTTGCAGAAAGCAGCCAACCAGAGGCTGAAGTGAAGTTACAAAGTTATGCAAAGACTCGCCCGCAATCGGTCTATGATTGGGTGGTCGCAGGCACACAATTTCCCATTTGCTGCACAGAAAGTCTTGGGGGTTGCAAAGGGAGTAGCCTCTGTTTTTTTTTTTGTTACTTAAGGGTGGAAAGTTAGGGCTTTCCTTTCGATTTAGTTCTAGGGCATGAGACAGCCTTAGGTTCCCTGGCCGCAGACCCTATTCTCCTGCCTCACTGATACTTTACAGCTCCTCAAATGTGCCCTGCTTCTCTCACCTCAGGGCCTTTGCTAAGGAGCTTCCCTCTGCCTCCAGGATCCCCCTACTACTAGCCAGGGGCACCCTATACAGAGGTCCTGGTTGTTTTCTGCTCAAGGGCACCCAGCAGTTAGGCCACAAGGGTGCTAAAACCCAGCACATGCTCTGCTCCTGGGGGTGTGGCCACATCTGCCCTAAGCTGAGGATACCTTTTCCTAATTTGCTGAAAGGTACCTTGGGGCTGGTACAGGGCCTGACACTTCTTTTTCTTTGTTTCCTCTTATTTCTGCTTCTGATCTCCATTCCAATGTTATTGAGGCGGGAACGGTGGCTCACACCTGTAATCCCAGCACTTTGGGAGGCTGAGGCAGGTAGATCTCCTGAGGTCAGGAGTTCGAGACCAGCCTGGCCAACATGGTGAAACCCCATCTCCCCTAGAAATACAAAAATTAGCCAGTTATGTTGGCGCACGCCTGTAATCCCAGCTACTTGGGAGGTTGAGGCAGGACAATCGTTTGAACCCAGGAGGCAGAGGCTGCAGTGAACCAAGATGGTGCCACTGCACTCCAGCCTGGGCAACAGAGCAAGACTCCATCTCAATAAGAAAAAAAACGTTACTGAAAAATGTCCTTTGATTACATCAGGGCCGAAGGAAGTGTCCTGTCATTTTCCTTCCTGGTCCTTGGCCCAATTTTGAGATAGAAGCCCTTGTGATTATCTAATTAATGCTCAAATCTTCTACTGATCTGAAAGCTCCACAAGGTAGGCACTGGTCCTGTGTTTGCTCCTCTTGGTGTCCCCAGCACTTAGGACACTGTCTGGCACATAGTAGGCACACTCGACAAATACTTGTGGGGTGAGTAGTGGCCTCTGTGCCCGGCTGTGGGTTATGCACTTTCTACAAGTGATTTTGTTAAATCCACACAACATGAAGAATGAGTTGTCCTTTGTTTAGAATTGAAAAAACTGAGACATACAGGGGTAAAGGGACTCTATGTTCAAGGTCTCTGAGTGTTTCCAGCTGAGAATGCAAACTGCCCAGGAAACAGTGGCCCAGAGAGAAGACGAGGCCAGCTCCCAAGGTCAGTAGCGTGTAAGTCAGGGTCTGGCAGCTGATGAGTGTTAAGCAGAAGAAAACACAATCGTTTGCTTCCAAGAAAAAAAAATGGGGACAGGGAGGGTGCAGAATCATAGAAAACACCCTCTTTGTTGAACCTTACAGTAGTAACTTGGCAGATACTCATTTATCCGAACCTCCGCGGGGAAATCCTATGTCGGGAAGGCTAAAGAGAGTAGAGGTTGTCACTTGTATCGGAGGGGAGACTCGATAGCGCCTTTCTGTTCAGCGGCAATTTTCCTGCTTTAAGTATGTTTTTCACAACTCATGTCATGAAATCCTCAAAGTGACAGTATTCCTGTTTCGGAATAGCAATAGGAAAACAGCACTGCAAATCTCAGGACACAACGGGTGAGCCCAGACAAAGGGCTTTCAGCAATCATGAAACCCTGAACCACCTTGCATCACAACGACATCTCCAAAAAGCAAAATGAGAT